CTCGCCGACCGCCTCCGCTACCCCCTCAAGGGCGCCGCCTGGGAGGACGACCTCCTCGCCCTCCTCCGCTCCCTCGCATGCCCCTACAAGGTCACCAGATCCGCCCTCAAGGCCCCCGGCACCCCGCACTCCTGGCCGCCGCTCCTCTCCGTCCTCTACTGGCTCACCCTCCTCTGCCGCGCCACCGACGGCCTCGGCGCGAACCCTCCCCCCTCCACTGACCTGATGACCTACATCACCGAGAGCTACTACCTGTTCCTCACAGGCGAGGATGACGCCGTCGCTGCCCTCGACGACGACTACCACTCCAAGGCCCGCGCCCAAGTCGATGCGTTGGGAGTGGCCATTCAGGACCTGGAGAAGGAGGTCCAGGATCTCGAGGCCAAGCGGAGCAAGCAAATCTCGGCGCCCTCTCGCCTCAAGGCGCTGGAGGAGAAGAAGGATGCATTTACTGCCGACGTTCAGAAGTTCGAGGCGGTGGTGAAGAGCTGGTCCACCAAGATCAAGGAGAAGGAAGATGCCTTGGTGGAGAAGGAGAAGGAGCTGGAGGCCAAGGTGATGAATTGCCAGCAGACGATGGCCGAGAATGAGGAGCTGCTGAAACAGGTGGAGACGCAGGTGGTGAATGTCAGGGACGTCGATAGGATGGCTAGGGAGATGCAAGCGGTGGAGCATGATATCTCCAAGTTGGAGAATGCAAATGCTGTACTGGAGGAGAAGGGGTGGGAACTTGAAGCTGCACTTGTCAGCAAGCTCGAGGAGATCGAGGGCCTTGCCGAGCTGTGCAACCAGTCCCTCCGGAAGTATGAATTCCCAAAAGAACTTTGAATCTCCTGATTCTTCGATTTTTTTCTCCATGTTTTTATTCTTTCACCAATGGTTCGATTGTTATCTAAGCACCTTTAAACTGACCTTAACTGAGTAACCATGACTCTCTTATTTATTGTGCAGAAATATAACTTAAAGAAGCATCTATCTATTGTAATGCTGAAATGGTGCTCTATAGTTCAATATGTCTGGTCTTCTTAACCTCCATAGTTCAAATATTAGTTCATTTGGAGAGTCATCTAATTTTGTTCATGCCTAAGCACTCTAATTTTTAATGTCAGAATTCTTTTTGTATGATCTTTTGCTTTGTTTAGGATATGCGGTCATGCAGTTTACAAGATTGTACTTTAGCCTGTGATATTGCTCTCTTGATTGTGCAATTTGTCTCGTGTCTTTTGTATTTTACCTTTTACCTTGTTGTTTGTCATTCTTAACTTGTTTTACTGCTTGTTTCCTTAACGGTCTAGAGTACACTCTGCTAGTCTGCTGTATGTGCAATTATATAGCTTAGGGTAAAGCCTTATTTTTCCTTGGATTATCATTGAGATGTCAGGTTAGATTAAGTAAACTGCTTTCTGTTCAAAAACAATAATTATACTATCAGTCGTTTGATATTAAGATCTGTGCGTACACAGGCTTCTGATTGAGACAATAAATAAGAGTGTGCATGAGGCAGTCCTCTAGTAGTTTACATTAGCTGAATAGAGACGGTTCCAACTTTGCAGTGTTGTCCATCAGAAAGTGCGGGAAAGTTGTAGGACATGATATGTTTTTGCCCTTGTTTTACTTTGTCTCCCATTTTCCCTCCAATTGTTCATGTAGCTTAACTCTGTGTAATCCCTTCACCCACTCTTCCTGATCATAATTTCTTTAGTTCTTCTGTTGAACATAGTATCATGTTGCAAATTGACGACTTCATGTGTGAAAGCATTTCCAGCAAGGTTGTAACTATTTTTAGTCTATGTGATAATTTAGCTTTCTTTTGGGTGATGGACACATGTTTAGGCAAACTTAGTTATACTTCATTCATAGTGCTCCTCTATTGCTACATTGTATCAGATGTTTATATATTAATTCGTTATTGCTGTGATACATACATCTTTACAAAGAGCTTCTAATATGTTTCGCATCATAGCATTCTTCATAATTGAGAAATATAAAAATTAAGTAACATTTTTCAATTAAAAGAAAACATCGCCGGGACAGATTTTGTGTAACACGGTATTCCTAAGTATTGTCCCTCAGTGCTTAGTTAGTGGCAGACTGAAGCAAACAAAGATCAAAATCTCAGAAAGATAAGAGTATCATTTTATTGTGGTTCTGTTGTTTATTCTTCAAGTTCTGTTTCGTCAATTTATATGTAGAGCTTGTTGCCTTACTGTCAAACACTGCTGTACCATTTTGCAGGTTGAAACCCAGTATTGATTTCCAGTTCGAGGTAAATGCAAAAGGATCCTCCCCGGCTGAGATCCTTGGTACCACCTACAAAACCATCCTGAAGCCCGCGCTCAATGCTCTTGCTAATGAGACTAAACGGCTAATTATCTCAAAGCATGATGAGTCAATTGATCTACAAAAGCAGTTGCAAGGAATTGTTAAAATGCTGGAAGAGAAAAAGAGTCATGTTTCTGTTCTACAGGCTAAACATAATGAGGTCAGTCACCTTATACTATAAATGATATATCACAGCATGAAAAAGTAAAGCAAATACCTGAAGTCCATTTTTAACCCTTAGTATGTTTATGATTGACTTTTTAAACTCATGCTTCAAAGTGGAAATTCTTTCTGTATAATTTTTTTGCGAAACTTGTCTACAATCCTGGCAAAATGGAGATTCTGTAGTATGGGTTGATAAAATTAGTCCACTAGTCTAAAAATGTCATGAATTTAGTACTCATTACAGTGTAGAAAATCGTTGGCTTATTAGTTATGTGCTGTGCATCATGGAAAAAGTACTCAAGTGAACTCTTTTTTATTTAAAATCTCAAGTCAACACTGGCCAATGGCTTACTTCCTTGTCTTATACTCCCTCAGTTCAACAATACATGTTATTTTGTGTTTTGACTTTTGACATTGTCTCTAGCGTGCATTTTTGGTCCTTAGTTTTCATATGAATAAGTTAGCAAAGAGTCATAAGACTATAATTTTAGTAAATATTTTCATGGCAAACCTAATCATACTGTTTTCACTCTGCCAATCCAAATTATAAACATCAGTTGTCAAAGTTGGAGATGCGTTACTTATGTTCCTGAATGAAGATACTAATTGGTTACAACGTTCCGTTGACCTGCATTTTATGGTAGAAAACTTGCTATATTGCTGGTACTGTGGTTTGTTTTATTTCTCTGCTCCAACTGCTAGGGAACCAGTGTCCTAAGGGCATGTGTAATGGGGTGATGCCAGTCTTCTCTTGGTAATGCCCCTGCCACGTAGGATAATTGCTGAGTTGGAAGAGAGAAGTGAAAAGAAGGGTGTGCCTTCTCTTAACTAAGAGATGTTCTCTCAGCGCTTAAGATGTTTTTATCGATGGAGTCAGATGCCATATCTTGGTCTTATTTAGTTATCGCTACATAATTTTAGGGGCATGCAAATATTACTTGCTAGAAACAACATAAAGAGATAATCTGTTGTCTAACATGTTCGAATTATCATCTTTAAATGACATGGAAGCTTAAGAGAAGGTTGCCTTCTCGACTACTGCACATGCCCTGAAAGGCATCACCGGTACTAGTAGTTATATTTCATTTACATTGTGGTTTCTGTTCCCAGATGACTGGTCAGCTGGATTCACTGGATCGTGAAATCCAGAATCACGTTTCACGCTGCGCAGCCGATGCTAGAAAATTGAAAGACGAGCTAGAGAAAAAGGAACATCACATGAGCACTGTTGAGAAGGAGGCAGAGGAGTTTTTGAAGGTAACATGGTCTTTTAATTTGCTCTGTTCCTGTAGCACGACACACGTACCACCATCAGATAAATTATTTACATCATTGTTGTGATTCGGCAGAACTCCGAAGAGGGTCTCCAGGCCGCATTGAGGGAGACCGACGAAGAAACCCAGATGTGCGCGAGGGAGCTGCTTAAGCTCATCGATTCAATCGCGGAGTACAAGGAGTTTGTGGAACAGTCGACTGCCGAGATGAAGAAAGACCTCTACGAATGCGTGGATGACATAGCTTCGCTGTCAGCCAAGATAGTCTGAGGCCGGTTACACGTTGGAAGCGAGTTAGATGTACTCCCTCGGTTCCATAATGCAGTGACAACTCAAAAAATCTATACGCACTAGTAGATTATTGAACAGAGGGAGTAGTATGTATGATGCGTTTAGAGATCGTTGAAATGACAGCTGTGTCTTGAGCTCCCAATTTCATTACTAACAGTTCTTGTGCAGTTGCAGGGGAGGGCCCCACGCACTGCCATTAGCTAAAAAACAGAGCTAACTGAAAGTAGGGAAACAGCAGCAAAATAACACCAAACTGCAGCGACTGTAAACAGATTCAGCAGCACTGCGTTCAATTCAACATACAGAACAACACTTTTAGCATGGGTATGTGGACAAAATAAACGAATATCCATTTCGGCTCCCCAGTTGAAGAAAAGTAAACTAAATTTATAAAATTCTGACTTTTTTTCTGCGTGGTACTCCCTCTGTAAACTAATATAAGAGGAATGTTTAGATAACTAAATTAGTTATCTAAACGCTCTTATATTAGTTTACGGAGGGAATAGATATTTTAGTGTGTGAGTTCAGCTCCAAATTTCATCGCATTTTGGTGCACAAACAGTAAATTTTTTGACATACCTCAATTTTGTTTTTTACTAAGAGCTGCTCAGATATACAAATGGACTAAAATTTGGCGTGAACCCTACGCACTAACACATATTTCATGGTGAACCAACTTGTGGTTGGATGGTTAGAGGAACTGTGATATCCTCAGTCCATCAGGGTCAAGTCCTGGTGCTCGCATTTATTTCTGGATTTATTACATGATTTTCAGCGATACGCATTTAGTGGGAGGAGAGGAGACGTTCTCGTCGACGATGAGGTGTCTATGATGACTTCGTAAATTTCAAGATCATATGTCGGCTTAGTCTTTCGGAGGTGCTCATAGGGATAGAGTGTGCGTATGTGCATTCATAGGGGTGAGTGTATGCGCGTGTGTGCGTGTGGACGTTGCTTGCCATAGCGTCCAAGCCTGGACGCTGTCTACAGTAGCATCCAGAGCTGGACGCTGTCCTTAATGGCGTCCTTCCTATTTTTAAAATTTTCACCCACCTTTGACCAGTTTCACAATCTGAATTATTAATTACTATTAATAAAGAATTGGGAAGTGCTTGTATCTGTACTGTGTAAAAGAAACCATCTTCCACGGAAAAAATATTTGGAATTTCTTGTTTTTTTATTTTAACACTTTTTTGAAGTCTTGCATGGTTTGATAACTCCAAATAAATATGCATGTGAATACTACATACGGATAAGAGATGAATATGCATGTGAGAACAAAAGTTCATCTATATGTAAATCTGGATCAAAATTCCATCTATATGTGAATAGACGTTTTGCCGTAATTTCATAAATTAATCATATGTGAATCTATAAATATGCGAATCTAATCTATATATAAGCATACGAATCAAATGTAAAATTCATGTATAGTCTATAAACATGGAGAGAGGCGTTTTGGACGCCGAGCTCCATGGAGGCCTTTATTATTGAAAAATTCAAATTCAAACTTTTATGATTCAAAAAATTCTGAAAAAATATGCACGTATGCAAGGATGTAACCCACACGTGTGTAAAAATTTATGAAGAAATACCTTGAGTTGCGACCTGTATAAAAAAGACAAATTCATGACTTGGGAGAATGAATAGTATCATGTGTTAAATAGCCCCAGATTTGTCTTTTTTGCACAGCCATCATTTCAATGTATTTTGAACTAAAAATTTACACATATGTATGTTATGCCTTCATGTATAGCTGTAATATTTTTCAGCATTTTTTAAAATGTAAAAATATGAATTTCGATGGAATTTCAAATTTGAATTTGGAGGCCTAACTGGAGGCCGAGCTCCAAAAGTGATTTATGATAAACATGTGAATATATTATAAATGTTCATATCTAAATTCTATACATATGTGAATCTACACATTTAGTTACTTGTACACCGTTGATACGTCTTCATCGTATCTACTTTTTCTAACGCTTTTACTCTTGTTTTGGACTCTAATTTGCATGATTTAAATGAAACTAACCCAGACTGACGCCGTTTTCAGCAGAACTATCATGGTGTTGTTTTTGTGCAGAAATAAAAGAAAAACGGATTTTGACGAAACTTTTTGAAGAATTATTTTGGAATAAAAAAAATTTGGAACCAAGACCCATCGGAGGGGGTGCCCTGACTGCCCACAAGACACCAGGGCGCCCCCCTCTGGCGCCCTGGTGGGTGGTGGGGCCCTTGGGGCTCCGCTGACCCTAACCCCGATGCTATAAAATCCTATTTTTTCAGAAAAATAGGAGAGGAAGTTTCATCGCGTTTTATGATATGGAGCCGCCGCCACCTCCTGTTCTTTATCGAGAGACCAGATCTGGAGCCCGTTCGGGGCTCCGGAGAGAGGGACTTCGGTCTTCGTCATCACCAACCAGTCTTCATCATCAATTCTATGATGCTCCCCACCGGGGGTGAGTAATTCCTTCGTAGGCTCGCTGGTCGGTGAGGAGTTGGATGAGATTCATCATGTAATCGAGTTAGTTTTCTTAGGGCTTGATCCCTAGTATTCACTATGTTCTGAGATTGATGTTACTATGACTTTGCAGTGCTTAATGCTTGTCACTAGGGCTCGAGAGCCATGATTTCAGATCTGAACCGTTTATGTTTTCACCACTATATCTATGTTCTGATCCAATCTTGCAAGTCACTGATACGTCTCTAACGTATCTATAATTTATGAAGTATACATGCTGTTATATTATCATTCTTGGGTGTTTAACAATCATTTTATAGCAACTTTATATCATTTTTTGGACTAACCTATTGACCCAGTGCCCCAATGTCAGTTGTTGTTTCAATATCAAACGGAGTCCAAACACCGCAAAACTTGTTGTGGTTTTTTATGGACCAGGAGACATCCAATGGGCCAGAGCAGCACCTGGGGGTGCCCCGAAGGGGGGCACAACCCACCAGGGCGCGCTTGGGCCCCCAGACGCGCCCCGGTGGGTTGTGCCCACCTCGGTGGCCTCCCGCACCCCCTCTTCGCCCTATAAATCGTCAAATATTCCAAAAACCCTCACGGAGACCCTAGATCAGAAGTTCCGCCGCCGCAAGTCTTTGTAGCCACGAGAAACCAATCTAGATCCTGTTCCGACACCCTGCCGGAGGGGGGAATCATCCTTCATCATCCCGGCAGCCACCATGATGAGGAGGGAGTAGTCCAGCCTCGGGGCTGAGGATTTCTACCAGTAGCTATATGTTTAATCTCTCTCTCTCTCTCTCTCTCTCTCTCTCTCTCTTGTTCTTGAGATGGCACGATCTTGATGTATCGCGGGCATTGTTAATATAGTTGGACATATGGTGTTTTCCCCTTTCTATCTTGTTGTGAATTGAGTTTTCCCTTTGAGATTTCGTTTTATCGGATTGAATACTTTTATGGGTTTGAGAACACTTGATGTATGTCTTGCTATGAATATCCGTGGTGACAATGGGGTATCATATTGATTCACTTGATATATGTTTTGGCACTCAACTCGCGGATTCCCGAGATGACATTGGGGTAATCTATGCATAGGGGTTGATGCACGTTCTTGTCTTTGTTTCTCCGGTAGAAATCCTGGAGCACTCTTTTAGGTTCTTTGTGTTGGATTGAGTATTATGAATCTGAAATTATTTGGTGTTATTTTAGTACGAACTCTTGGATAGATCGATCGGAAAGAATAGCTTCGAGGTGGTTTCGTACCCTACAAATAATTTCTTCTTATGTTCTCTGCTAGATAGGAACTTTGGAGTGATTCTTCATCGCACTTTGAGGGATGGTTATATGATCCAATTATATTAGCATTGTTGAGAGATTGCAGTAGCAAAAGTACGGACCCTAGGCCTCATTTTCAAGCATTGCAATACCGTTTGTGCTCCGTTTTATCAATTGCTACCTTATTGTTTTTATTTGTTCCTATTACAAAAATCAATATCTACTATCATTACTACACTTGTATCACCATCTCTTCATCGAACTAGTGCACCTATATAATTTATCATTGTATTTGATGTGTTGGGGACACAAGAGACTTTTTATTATTTGGTTGCAGGGTTGTTTGAAAGAGACCATCTTCATCCTACACCTCCCACGGATTGATAAATCTTAGGTCATCCACTTGAGGGAAAATTGCTACTGTCCTACAAAACTCTATGCTTGGAGGCCCAACACGAGTCTACAAGAATAAAGTTGTGTAGTAGACATCAGTCATATGCACCTATTACGTGTTATGATCCATAAACCCCAGGGTAACAGTAATTGGGATAATTTTCGGTCTTGACCGTAGTTTGAGGAGTTCATGTATTCACTATGTGTTAATGTTTTGTTTCGCTTCTCTATTAAAAGGAGGCCTTAATACCCCTTAGTTTTCTTATGGCCCCGCTGCCACGGGAGGGTAGGACAAAAGATGTCATGCAAGTTCTTTTCCGTAAGCACATATGACTATTTACGGAAGACATGCCTACATTATATTTATGAACTTGAGCTAGTTCTATGTTGACCTAGGTTATGACTGTTATATGATGAATATTATCCAACGAATTCACTGATCCAATGCCTACGAGTTTTCCACATATTGTTTTTGCTAAGTTACTATTGATATTGCTACTGTTACAACTGCTACTGCTGTTATCGTTACTACTGCTATCAAAATTATAATATTACTGTGCTACTGATAACTTTGTTGTAGATATTTAATCTTCAGGTGTGGTTGAATTGTCAACTCAGCTGCTAATACTTACAAATATTCTTTGGCCCCCCTTGTGTCGAATCAATAAATTTGGGTTGAATACTCTACCCACTAAAACTGTTGCAATCCCCTATACTTGTGGGTTATCAAGGGGGGTTAGGGCGACATCCACGAGAGAGAGGTGAGAGTTATGATTTGAATTTTTGGTCCATTTTTTTGTGTCACAAGAGAGATGGTTTTGGGAGGGGGGAAGAGAAACCACCC